GGGGGGATGGAAGGGCATGCATTGGGCAGGGGGTGCAGGAGGGGGGTGCAAGGATGTGCATTGGGCATGGGGTGCAGGAGGGCCTTGCTGAGCCAGGTGGGGGTGCAGGAGGGGGATGCAAAAACATGCATTGGGCAGGGGATGCAGGAGCGGGGTGCAAGGATGTGCATTGGGCAAGGGGTGCAGGAGGAGGGTGCTGAGCCGGGCAGGGGGTGCGGGGGGGGGATGCAAGAACATGCATTGGGCAGGGGGTGCAGGAGGGGGATGCTGAGCCAGGCAGGGGGTGCAGGGGGGGATGCAAGAACATGCATTGGGCAGGGGGTGCAGGAGGGGGATGCTGAGCCAGGCAGGGGGTGCAGGGGGGGATGCAAGAACATGCATTGGGCAGGGGGTGCAGGAGGGGGATGCTGAGCCAGGCAGGGGGTGCAGGGGGGGATGCAAGAACATGCATTGGGCAGGGGGTGCAGGAGGGGGATGCTGAGCCAGGCAGGGGGTGCAGGGGGGGATGCAAGAACATGCATTGGGCAGGGGGTGCAGGAGGGGGATGCTGAGCCAGGCAGGGGGTGCAGGGGGGGATGCAAGAACATGCATTGGGCAGGGGGTGCAGGAGGGGGATGCTGAGCCAGGCAGGGGGTGCAGGGGGGGATGCAAGAACATGCATTGGGCAGGGGGTGCAGGAGGGGGATGCTGAGCCAGGCAGGGGGTGCAGGGGGGGATGCAAGAACATGCATTGGGCAGGGGGTGCAGGAGGGGGATGCTGAGCCAGGCAGGGGGTGCAGGGGGGGATGCAAGAACATGCATTGGGCAGGGGGTGCAGGAGGGGGATGCTGAGCCAGGCAGGGGGTGCAGGGGGGGATGCAAGAACATGCATTGGGCAGGGGGTGCAGGAGGGGGATGCTGAGCCAGGCAGGGGGTGCAGGGGGGGATGCAAGAACATGCATTGGGCAGGGGGTGCAGGAGGGGGATGCTGAGCCAGGCAGGGGGTGCAGGGGGGGATGCAAGAACATGCATTGGGCAGGGGGTGCAGGAGGGGGATGCTGAGCCAGGCAGGGGGTGCAGGGGGGGATGCAAGAACATGCATTGGGCAGGGGGTGCAGAAGGGGGTGCTGAGCCAGGCAGGGGGTGCAGGAGGGGGATGTAGGGACATGCATGGGTCAAGGGGTGCAGGAGGGGGGTGCTGAGGCAGGCAAGGGGTGTAGGAGGAGGTGCTGAGCCGGGCAAAGGGTACAGGAGCGGGATGCAGGGACATGCATTGGGTATGGGGTGCAGTAGGGGGGTGCTGAGCTGGGCAAGGGGTGCAGGAGGGGGATGCAGCGACATGCATTGGGCAGGGAGTGCAGGAGGGGGGTGCTGAGCTGGGCAGGGGCTGCAGGAGGGTGTTGCACGAGTGTACATGGGCAGGAGATTGCAGGAGGGGGGTCCTGAGCCATGCAAGGGGTCCAGAAAGCCATTGCAAGGACATGCATGGACAGGGGTGCAGGAGGAGGGTGCTGAGCTGGGTGGGGCATGTAGGAGGGGGTGCAAGGGAATGCATGGGCAGGGGATGCAGGAGGGGAGGTGCCGAGCTGGTCAGGGGGGGCAGGAGGGGGGTACTGGGCTGTGCATGGGATGCAGGGGTGGGTGCTGGGCCGTGCATGGGCAGGGGGTGCAGGAGGAGCAGAATGCTGACTTGCATAAGGGAGATGCAGGGACCTCCATGGGCAGGGGCTGCACGCAGGGGAAATGTGAGAGAGCATTTGGGTGCTGGGTCAGGCGGGGCGGGTGCTGAGGAAAGCTGGGGTGGGTCAATAGGGGTGGGTGGGACAGGCAGAGGGGACTCTGCAGGGGGAGTTTGTCTGGAGAAGGTGGCAGCCTTGGCAGGAGGAGGTGCATGGGCCTCTGCGTGACCGCCTCTCTTGTCCCTCCTCCCAGGCAAATGACGCCTGCAAGTGCAACGGCTGGAAGAACCCCAACCCTCCCACCGCCCCCCGCATGGACCTGCAGCAGCCAGTGACCAACCTGAGCGAGCCCTGCCGGAGCTGCGGCCATGCACTGGGTAACCCCTCTGTGGGGCACCTGGGACCCCTCCGGGGAGGGGGAGCCATGCTGAACCCCCCGATCTCACTGCGGCTTTCTCTCTGCCACAGCCGACCACGTGTCCCACCTGGAGAATGTCTCGGAGGAAGAGATCAACCGGCTGCTGGGTATGGTGGTGGACGTAGAAAACCTCTTCATGTCGGTGCACAAGGAGGAGGACACGGACACCAAGCAGGTGTATTTCTACCTGTTCAAGGTGCGTCTGGGGCTGGGCACGTTGCGCAGGGGGGGTCTCTCAGCGTTGTCGGGGAGCTGGGGCTGCCGGCCCCTTGCTTGTCCTCTGCCTGCTCTGCTGGGAGCTGTGGTTGGTGGCTGTCAGCCATCCCACCAGCCCAGCCGGAGCCCCGAAATGCCCACCCTGTCCTGGGAGCGACTGCTCTCCCGGTCTTGAATTCCCCTGGGAGGGAGGTTTCCAGGGAAGAAACAAGTGTGCTCTGAGGTGGGCCCTGGTACCTTCCTGGCTGTGTAAATTGGTGCAGCCCCGCAACAGCGTTCTGCCGCTCCTGGTTTTGGGACTTTGATCCATAACTGTGTCCGACGGTGTCTTCACAGCTCCTGCGGAAGTGCATCCTGCAGATGAGCCAGCCTGTGGTCGAGGGGTCCCTGGGGAGCCCCCCCTTTGAGAAACCAAACATTGAGCAGGTGAGGCTGCTGTCAGGCTCACGCGTGGCACTGATGACTTGTCCCGTGTTTTGTTGCTCTTGCACAGTCCCCTTCCTCTTCGGGGGGCAGCACTGAAGGGCCTGGTGCAGCACCCGGTGCCCCTCCACCACCCCTTCCTCTCCCTAGGGAGTCTTGAACTTCGTCCAGTACAAGTTCAGCCACTTGCCACCCAAGGAGCGGCAGACCATGTATGAGCTCTCCAAGATGTTCCTGCTCTGCCTCAACTACTGGAAGCTGGAGACGCCGTCCCAGTTCCGGCAGCGCTCCCAGAATGATGATGTGGCCACCTACAAGGTCAACTACACGAGGTGAGGGCAGGAGGGGGTCTGAGCCAGCCAGCCTGGGGGTCTGCCTACTCCTCCCACCCCTGCATGGGGCCGACTCCTGGGGTCTTCGCCTCTCCCCAGCTCTCCCAGGTGAGGAGAGGAGGCAGCCAGTGGGGATTCTGCTCCAAATAACATCAGCCGTGACCTCCCCAGATGCCTGCTCTCCTTGTCCCTGCTCCGAGCAGTGTATTCTCAGCGGGGATGCGGATGCTCTGGGGTCACTGGTCCCAGCCCCGCCACTGGAGCGTGTTCTTGTCTCCTAGGTGGCTGTGCTACTGCCATGTGCCACAGAGCTGCGACAGCCTTCCCCGCTACGAGACCACCCACGTCTTCGGGCGCAGCCTCCTCAAGTCCATCTTCACCGTCACCCGTCGGCAGCTGCTGGAGAAGTTCCGAGTGGAGAAGGACAAGCTGGTGCCAGAGAAGCGGACGCTGATCCTCACCCACTTCCCCAAGTAGGTGCCCGATGCAGGGATGGCTTCTGGGGCTCACACACCAAGTGGAGCCGTGGGGCTGTGCGTGCCCGATGCCTGCTTACCGGCCAACGTGCTACTCCCTTCCAGGTTCCTGTCCATGCTGGAGGAGGAGATCTACGGCGAGAATTCTCCCATCTGGGAGGCTGATTTCACCGTGCCGGCCGCAGAGGGTGCCCAGCTGGTGTCTCGCCCAGGTATCTCAGGGAGCAGTCCCCCCCTGCAGCTTGGGGGCTGTAGGATAAAGGACCGAGGTGGTGGGTGAGCCTTGGCCCGTGGCGGTGGCTGGGCTGCTGCAGTGTGGCGAGCTGCTTTCTGGCAGTCACGGGCACCGTTGGTGTCTTCCAGCCACGGTCAGCACCGTTGCTGTGCCCACCACGCCACTCTTCAGCAAGAAGCTCAGCAACAGCAGCTCTGCTGCGAGCATGGATGCCAGCACCCCAGAGCCCCTGCCAGGTAGGGCCGGTGTGAGCCCGGCGCTGGGGGAGATGGGACCTTCCTTGGTCCTTCCTGGTGCTGGATGTGCTGCTCTGCTCCGTGCCCCAGGGGAGAAGCGGAAGCTGCCCGAGAGCCTGACGCTGGAAGATGCCAAGCGGATCCGTGTCATGGGAGACATCCCCATGGAGCTGGTGAACGAGGTCATGCTGACCATCACGGACCCCGCTGCCATGCTGGGCCCCGAGGTACGGAGTGGGGGGCACTGAGGTGGCACCGATGCTCTCCAGGCCCTGCAGAGCTGCTTTCCTGGTGTTCTGGGCTGGACTCCCCCCGCCGAGGGTGTGCTGGGGTCAGTGAAACCCCCCCGCACCCTCCAGACCAGCCTGCTGTCGGCAAACGCGGCACGGGACGAGACGGCCCGGCTGGAGGAGCGCCGTGGCATCATCGAGTTCCACGTCATCGGCAACTCGCTCTCGCAGAAGTCTAACAAAAAGATCCTGATGTGGCTGGTGGGCTTGCAGAACGTCTTCTCGCACCAGCTGCCCCGCATGCCCAAGGAGTACATCACTCGCCTCGTCTTCGACCCGTGCGTGGCTGGGGGGGGTGCAGGGGTAGCCGGCATGGGGAGGGGGGCTCCCATCTCACCCTTGGCTTTGCTTGCCTGCAGGAAGCACAAGACCCTGGCACTGATCAAGGACGGCCGAGTGATCGGGGGGATCTGCTTCCGCATGTTCCCCACCCAGGGCTTCACAGAGATAGTCTTCTGCGCTGTCACGTCCAACGAGCAAGTGAAGGTGAGAGCAGGAAGGCGGGTGGTGGGCACGGCACAGCACTGGGGTGGGGAGGAGTGGGGTGGTGGGTGGGGGGCTGCGGGGGGAACAGGATGGTCCCGCTGTCACTGGAAGAGCACAGGGGTGTCCCAACGCCTGGGGTAGCCCAGACCCACTTGGTGCTGGCCAGCCCCAAGCATCCCTGATTGCTCTGGGGACATCTTCCAGCTGCCCATGTCCATGGGTAGGAGAGGACTGTGTCCTGTCTGACTCGGGCTGCCTGGGGGGCACGGGGAGGGGGTCCCTGTCTCATGGTGGCTCCCCCAGGGCTACGGGACGCACCTGATGAACCACCTGAAGGAGTACCACATCAAGCACAACATCCTCTACTTTCTCACCTACGCGGACGAGTACGCCATTGGCTACTTCAAGAAGCAGGTGGGCTTCTTGCCCCAGGGCGGCTCCCCTCAGCCCTCCTGCCCACCAGCCCCCTCCTACCTGCCCTCTCCCTCCTAGGGCTTTTCCAAGGACATCAAGGTCCCCAAGAGCCGCTACCTGGGCTACATCAAGGACTATGAGGGGGCAACCCTGATGGAGTGCGAGCTGAACCCCCGCATCCCCTACACTGAGCTTCAAGACGCAGAGGGAGTTCCCCCCTGCCTGCTCCGGCCCCTGCCTGCTCCGGCCCCTGCCTGCTCCCTCCTGAAGGCAGGGGAGAGGCGTGGGGATGTGTCAGCCCTTGGGAACTGTCCCTTGAATCTCCCCTGGGAGCAGGCTCAGGGGGTGGAGATGGGGCACTGCAGTGGCATTTATGGTGGCTGGGGTTGGTTCCAGCCCTGGGCAGTGGCTGGAGCTGATGCTCTGGGGTCCCACGTCACGGTTTGGCTCCCTGGAGCATCCTTGCAGTCCCTGCTCACACCCCAGCTTCCAACCTCCCCTTCCCACCGCAGATCATCAAGAAGCTGATTGAGAGGAAGCAAGCGCAGATCCGCAAGGTCTACCCTGGCCTGACCTGCTTCAAGGAGGGCGTGCGGCAGATCCCCATCGAGAGCGTCCCTGGCATCCGTGAGTCCTGCCGGCTTCTGGTGGGGATGGGCTGTCTGGCAGGAGGGCTCCGTCCTCCCTTGCCCACAGGCGTGGGGCAGACGTGGTGACATTGACTCTTGATTTCCAGGAGAAACAGGATGGAAACCGCTGGGGAAGGAGAAGGGGTGAGTGCTGTTTGGGGGGGGCGGGTGTCCTGCTGCTCCTTGCTTCGGCACTGGGATGCGGAGGTGGGAGCACTGGGAATGAGAGAGGCTGCTCACCCTCAGGCTGATGAGTGCTGGTTTTGTCCTGCAGAAAAGAGCTGAAGGATCCAGACCAGCTCTACAACACCCTGAAGAACCTCCTGGCCCAGATCAAGGTGCAGGCAGCAGGGGACCCTCTGCTTCGGGGTGCCTGTCCCCCACCAACAGCCCTCAGAGCTGCCTCCCCTGGGACAGGCTGTCCTGGGCTGTGCTCCTGGGGGGCGTGTGGGGTGACCCAGGCGTGTGGGGAGCAGGACCCCTGTGTGCTGGGGCAGGCAGGGGCAGGCTGGCTGCCTGTGCTCGCTGCTGTAACCTGCCGCCCACCCCCTTCCCAGACCCACCCCAGCGCATGGCCCTTCATGGAGCCGGTGAAGAAGTCAGAGGCACCGGACTACTATGAAATCATCCGCTTCCCTATTGGTATGTGGTTGTGCCCGGAGCCCTGGGGCAGGATGGCAGAGGGGGGGCTGCAGACCCCCTGTCTGCGGGGTCTGTGCTGGGGAGGGGGTGTCCTGGCTGGGGCAATGGGGTGCTGGGAGCCCCAAGACAGGACAGAAGAGAGAAGGATGAGTTGGGACCCCTGACTGGCGTCCAGCTCCGTGGCTGGGGGGGGCAGAGGCCTGGGGGGGGCCCTGACCCTTCCCCACCCCCAGACCTCAAGACCATGACCGAGCGCCTGAAGAACCGCTACTACGTCACCAAGAAGCTGTTCATCGCCGACCTGCAGCGCATCATCACCAACTGCCGCGAGTACAACCCCCCCGACAGCGACTACTGCAAGTGTGCCAACACCCTGGAGAAGTTCTTCTACTTCAAGCTCAAGGAGGGGGGGCTTATTGATAAGTAGGGGAGCTGGCCTGGATCCGCCTTGGCCACTGGCATCCCCCTGGGAGGGGCAGGGCTCCCCATGGGACCTGGCCCCCCTCCGTGGGCAGGGGCTGCTGGGGGGGTTGTTGCTGGGGGGGAGGCCCGGGGGGCCGGGGCCCT